TCCATTTCTACATTCTACAGTACTCAAACTCCATTTCTACATTTCTGTGCTACTCAGAGACCTGTACTCTCAACTATACTATATAAAAGTATTGTTCATTTTTTTTCCTCACTTATGTATGCCAATTCCAACCAACCTATGAGTCTATTTGATACCATCATCTTTTCATTATCCCTCACCTCTTTATGTCATAACTTCCCACCTGCATATCTTCTACGGTCAACAATTATAATCATTCCAATGCATACACACCAATTCCTTCACTTCTATTTCATTTTGGCATGTGCTCCTGGCTAACCTACAACTCTGGTCAAAGCCAACTCACCCTACTCCATGCCAGCACTTGTGCAGCTGAAGAAGACTGAGAAAAATAACGAGTCACGTTGATCAGACTCATTTTAAATATATAAATAATAAACTCAAGTGGGGATTTTAATAAGGCTATTCACATTCATATATTTCTTAGTTCATTAGTTTTCTTACTGTTTTAGAGGACTGTTTTTGCAAATCTCTAAATAGCCTTCCTCCTCTACACTCTCAGCTGATGGTCTTGCTTAATTCACTGAGGAAAAAAAGAGACAGATAAATTCTACCAGCTCACATCATATAGTGTGCTTTGAATTCTTGCTATTTTGGAGGAGCTTTCTGTGCTCCTTCTAATGAAAAGCTTCCATAGTGTTTCTAGATTCACTCCTGTCTCACCTTTTCAAGAACTCTTGTTCTAGAAATTCATCCTTCTCCTTCCTACACTGTCAAGTTTCCCACTATCATCTGACAACACATATACTTTTATTTTTCCTATCTTAAAAAATTTCCTTTCTTGATCACTTCCACTTCTATCTACTGCTTCATCTCTTTCCTTCCCTTTATGCCGAAGTGCTCAGTGTCTACTTTTGCACTTTTTCCTTCTTTTCCCATTTTCACTGAAACTTTCTCTAATCCAGCTTTTGCATGATTCTACCAGACTGTTCTTAACTAAACCAGCACTGCAAGAAATGCTAAAGGGACTCATCTAAACTGATATCATCCCACTTTAAAAGATACACTAACTGAAAAAGTGTGCACCACACACCTTTAAGCAAAGTGAAGATTAAAAAATGAATCTAATAAAATTAATTAAAGTTACAATAAATACATAGTTCTGGAAATTATATAACATAAAGGGGCAATACGACACCTTAAATATATAAAATGGAAGAGGGAGTAGCAAAAATGCAGTTCCAAAATACATTCAAATATAAGTAGCTATCAATGCAATACAGATAAAATACAGACTTGAGACTTTATATTTGAAACCGTGGCAGCCACAAAGGAAAAACTTATAGTAAAAATACAAAAGAAATGAAAAGGGAGGGACCTCCCCGGTGGCGCCAGCGGGTTGAGTTCGATTCCTGGCCCGCCAGGGAGCAACCCACGTGGCGGGGGAGACCTTTCCTGTCTTGCTCGCTGCTCCCCTCAGCAGTAGATTTTGGTCCTTCTGCCTGTTATGCTCCCTGCTCTGCCTCTGGTGAATTCTCTCACCCTCCTGCACCTCTGGCCTGTACCCCAGTGCTTATAAAATAAATAAATAAATCTAAAAAAAAAAGAAAGAAAATGAAAAGGGAACCTGGACACACCAAAAAAAAAAAAAAAAAAAAATTAAACATGAAGGGAAAAGAAAAAAAAGAAATGAATAGAGAACTATTAATACACTAGGAAAATCAATTAGCACAGTAGTAAAGAATACATGTTTCAATAATCACCATAAATGTAAACTCTCCAATCAAATGACAGAGTGAGTGACACACTGTAGGTGATGACATCATCAAAATGGCTATAGAATAGGTTCCTTGCTTCCCATCCAAGAGAAACACATAACAGTTAACCAGACAGAAACTAAAAGAGTACCATAGCTAAGGGTGAGACTGAAATATCCACTGGATAATAGAGACCAATACATATTGCATCTAGGAGACTCACACTTCATTGAACAGAAGGGTGGTCTGGGGTGGGGTACACAAAGACCAGGCCCTAAGTATATTAATCATTCTTATTTTAAATTTCTATTCTGATAATTACAAAATATTTGTTATATTCAATTTGATACATGTTTGCTTTGTCTCTTTAGACTGTGCTTTTTGCCTTTTAACATGCCACTTGATTTTTTTGTTGTTTAGAGTCAGATATGATATATTAGATAACACTGAATTAAACAGGCCTTTAGTGTGAGACTGTATCTGGCAAGCACTAGGGTGTGTTTATTGTTTGCTGGTAATGTAGGTGTCAGAGACTAAAATTGTTGCATCCCTTGAATTTTCATTTCTCTAGAGACTTCTTAATGTCTGAGATACTAAGTTCTTTCAGTTGTACTCTTGTTATACAGGAGTCCTAATGATGTGTTGTGAGATGTGTGGGTAGGGGAGATATTCTACAATCCCACAATTCAGTATGTTTGTCTGTGAGTCTGTGCTGCTGGGCTATGATCTTCACAAGGGTTTTCAATTATCCCCCTTATTTGAAATAGGCTGGAGCGTTGGGTATTTCCCTCCTACCTGCCTACTCTACCCACTCCTCCACCCCCAATTTGGTTAGGCTGTGGTAAAACACAAATGGCTAGACTTAGGTAATATAGTTTGCTTTCTGTGCAGGCCTTTGCGAGAATAAAATGATTACTTCTCCCCTCCCCACACTGGAAGCATATTTTTCTTAAACCTTCACAGGGAGAAGGTGATGGGGCTACTTCAGGTAAAACACAAAAAAGTATACAGGCCCATCAGTGCTAGGTCTTCATAGTATTTTTTTTCTCAAGCTAGTCTATGCTCAGGTTCCAGTAGCTAGTGCCTATGACTCTTTCAATATTCCTAGCAGATGCTGGCTTCAGTGGTGGTTTCTGCCCCAGGTATGTTCTGTTTCTCTGTATCTATCTACAGTTTTTATGTCTGTGTGTTCTGTGGTCTCCATTCTTTAATGAATATAAGCAGAGTTGCTGATTTTCAGGTTTCTTTTTTTTCATTTGTGTGAGAATAGTACAAGCCGGTTATATTACTTTTAAAAAGAAATCATTCTGTATCTCTGCAATTATTGGGCTAATTTGTAGGAATGAACACACTCTATCAGTGGAGTAAACATTTTTAAGATTTTTCATACATACTTCCAAACTTCCTTCCAAAGATGTACCAAAATAATCTAAATATATTTTTACCTTCTTATTTTCTGGCTCATAAACCTTCATTTCTACCTCATTGGTTGAGGATGAAGTCATCCATCTCCACGAAATACACATTTCTGTGGTGGTTGAATAGGGGTCACTGAAATTCTTTATATAATCTGGCCCTCATAGGGTTCTCAATTTGATCACTTACTATTCCCCAAAGTAATCTTTTGGTTCTAGTTCTAGTGACTAGTGAACTTAGTGTCCTTAGAACACATAATAATCATTTATTTTGTTTTTGTTCAAGTTATCATTCAATATAAATAATGCTCCCCCCAAGTCCTCAGTCTTTTTTTTTAATGTGGAAACTTTGTATTTTATATTTTTATATTCCCCATACAATTGCAACCCCCTGATTTTGACCCCAATCCCTCCTTTCCCTGCCCCCCCCCCAAAGTGTGTCTCTGGTTCATAGTTGTTTGTTGATTTTGATTTTTTCTTATAGTTATTCTTTTTTCTGGTCCCTTATTTAGGTTTTCTAGATTCCTGTTTGAGTGAGACCATCTGGTATTTTTCTTTTTCTTTCTGGCTTATTTCACTGAGCATGATCCCTTCTAGCTCCATCCATGTTGCTACAAATTGCATGTGTTTTTCTTTTCTGAATGTGGAGTAATATTCCATTGTGTATATGCACCATATCTTCTTGATCCAGTCATCTATTTTTGGACATTTGGGTTGTTTCCAAAGCTTAGCTATTGTAAATTGTGCTGCTATATACATAGGGGTGCAAGATACCATCTCACACCAGTGAGAATGGCACATATTAAAAAAACTAGCAACAACAAATGTTGGCGAGGATGTGGAGAGAAAGGAACTCTCCTGCACTGCTGGTGGGAGTGCAAACTGGTCCAACCACTATGGACAGCTGTGTGGAGATTCCTCAACCTACTAAAGATAGAGCTTCCATATGATCCAGCAATTCCACTCCTAGGTATTTACCCAAAGGATACAAACATTAATTCTAAAGAGTCCTCAGTCTTTTTCCATTCAATCTATACATATTTCTTACTGTTCACCTTGCCTTAGCCCATTTTACTTGTCCCATATATAGCTAGTATAGGGTAGAACTTCCAGCATACTTTGAAAGAAAGGTGTCAGCAATCCAAGAAGTTTTCCTAAAACATTTCTATAGAACATTTCTATAATATAGGGTGCAGAGGACAGGGGCATAGCTACTCTCTGTGAAATGAAAAAGACTAGTTTAGGTAATAAAACTAAGAATTTCTGATATCATTTGGAATTAGAATAGCAAAGTTGAGGGCATACAGAACAAAATTATGAAATAAGTGTTTTGGGGTTTTTGCTTCTATTTTTCATTCTACTTTTTTCAGAAATATATTTATATAAAGGGTAGAGAGTGCTAAAAGATCAAGAAAGGGTGAAATATTATTACAACAGTGGATTTTTGCTTTGTATTCTATTTTTTCAGTCATGGCATCATGACTCCATTATCTGGCCCTCCTAATTACTCTAGTTTCATATTTTGGCTCAATTTAAAACATAAATCCCACCAAAAACCAACATCCTGGATAAATTGTTCTATTTATAATTAATAATATACTTAGTGACATTTAAAAATTCATCTTTTTTCCTGTCTCTTTAGAAAAACCCACATACAAAACAAGTATTTAAAGATAAATACATATTTTTAGATAACTACATTTGTGACACATTAATTTAAACAAAAGTTTAAATTAATAAGTGGTAACTATAATGATAATAAAGCAAAAAGTGGCTACTAATTCAGAAAAACAGGTTTTTTAGCTCTAATATTTGATTTTTTTACTTAAAAATTAAAAAATCAACTCACGTTCCATTTGCTCAAACATAACTGAAAAGAGGAAGTCTTGCGGTGTCATATAATATTCTCCTTCATATTCCAATGAAGAAAACTGCATAAAGCGCTGTTTACGAAGAGATGATCCTCCTATCATTTTCCCATAGACATTTTTCTAAAAGCAAAAAGATTGTAATTTAAGAATTTTTATCCTCCAACTCAGTTTCTTCTAAAATGATCTTTCTCTCCTTCCCATCAAAATTTTACTGATTTGCTACTGGTTTACAACTATACATATATATTTATTTATTTTGGGAGTTCAACTTCACACCTCAACATGTGCACATGCTTTACTTGCCCTCCACCAAAGCACCCATTCCCATACACTATCACCTTGCCCCTCCTTGCTTTCCTCCCCCCGCCCCCCTCCCCGTTCTGATGGTAACAACCAGTTTTCAGAGCCTAAGAGTTATTTTTGTTTTGTTTTGCCAGTTTGTTTTCTTTGGTTATAAAATAATCTTGAAAGAGTAATTTTAGCCTTTAGGGCTAACAACTTCCAAACTTTTAAATTATTCATTTAACAAATATTTACTGAGTATCCTACATAGCACTGCTTTAGGTATTAATGACACAGTAGTGGGGCCTCCCTGATGGCACAAGGGGTTAAGACACAACCTATGAAGCTATCAGCAGCCACTGCAGCACGAGTTCGATCTCTGGTCAGGGAGCTACCCACATGGTGCAGCAAAATGGGGAAACAGAAGAACATGCCCCAGATGAAAGAGCAAAACAAAACTCTGGAAAAAGACCCTAGAGAAGAAGATACGAGCAAAATGCCTGAAGAATAACTCAAAGTAGTGGTTATAAAGATGCTTATTGATTTCAGAAGGATGAATGAATAAGACATTCAGCTTATTAATAAGGATGACTACTTCTAGTTCCATTTGTTACTTCTAGAGCCAGGCTTACATCCCACTCTTTTCATGAAACTACCTCAACTCTTATTACCCACATTGTTTTCTCTATTTTCCTAATGTATTAAATTTTTTTTTAAAGATTTATTTATTTATTTACACAAGCACTGGGTACAGTCAGAAGCACGGGAGGGTAAGAGAATTCACCAGAGCCAGAGGGGAGAGCAGAGCAGGCAGAATGATGAAGTACACTGCTGAGGGGAGCAGCGGACGGCAGGAGAGGTCTGTGAGCCATATGGGACCCTCACCCGGTGGCCAGGGATCGAACCTGTATTGCAGAGGCTGCGGGCAGCTTTGCAACCCAGCGTTCAACCACTGCGCCACTGGGGAGGCCCCCTAACATATTAAATTTTTAAAGGCACTAGTATAGGACAGTGATCGAGAATGGAACATTATATGCCTATGCTGCTAAGAAGTTAACTGCTGCGTTGATCAAAGCAAATTGGTTAACCTTGACAAGACTTGTTTTTTTTTTTTTGTAAAATGAGGATTAAATATGATACCTACTCACGTAGGTGGGTAGCTACTGGTAGTGTGGCCCTCAGTTTGCTAGGCAGGTTGGAAGGGTTGCACTCTACCAATCCTAGGTTGCGGAAGCTAGCTGGGTTCCTGGTGATAGTAGCTGCAGTATGTACTTCAGAAGCCCTATGACTGATGTGGTATAGACAAAGAGATGGACCTCCAGAGTGTGGCTGAGGTAGCTCAAGTGGGGCCTTGCTGCAGGCATGCAGGGACCAAAGCCTGTCATGCTGATGGCATGAAATGAAATGAAATGGGGCAGCTGAGGCAGAGCTCACATATGGGTTGGCAGGGTGCAGGGTCTGGCAGGTTAGAGGAGAGTAGCAGGTGACAGCTGCGTCCTTTGTTAGCTGGCTATCCTGTGGAACATGTCTGGGGTGCTCACATAGCTTCAGGGGTATAGTTTTACTGCCAGAAAGCAGGTAGTGACTAGTAAGGGTGGGCTCTTTTCATCTGTCTGGGATGGATTTTCTTGTCTTTTGGCTCTGCAGTAGGTTGGGCCACTTCCAGTGGGTGGGTGGAGCTCTAATCAAGGATTGCCCTTGGACTCTGGTAGTATTAAAGGTGGGTTCCAAGATGGTGCCCACTCTGCTGTTAGCAAGATTGCAAGGGGATCCCAAGTTGGTGCCTACCAGTGACTAACTCTGGATAATTCCCTAGTGTTCCTCACCTACCAGGTCAACACTGTATCTAGGATTCCTTTAACCATAGGCCCTGGCACTGCAGAATGGTGTAATTATGTGGTTCCAGGGCAAAGGAGTCTGCTCACAGGCTATTTAGGGCACGTTCTTAACCTCTACTTTCTCCTTGGCCATCCTGTGCTAATTTCCTCTGGTCCTCAATGCAGGAGTTCTAGGAATTTAGTTTGTCTCCATTATGTTTGATCATAGGGTTTAGATGCCAGGTTTTAAGTACTGTCCTTCCCCAGTTCCCCAGGGTAAAGTCTGCACCTTAGCCACGTATTCCCTATGATGTGGTTTCATCTTTAGTGTGAACATATTTCTTTCTCTCCTAGCCATCCCTATGTTGCCTTTTTATTCTGTTATAGAAGCTTTATTTGGTTGGGTTTGAGGTTTGCTTCTGTGTAGATTAGTCCATACTTAGATATAGATTTACTGTGAACATGGGAGGAGGTAAGCACAAGTTCTCCCTATTCCACCACCTTGGTCCCATCCTTTCTAAGATTATCCTTAAAAGATATGTATAGCCCTTAAACATTGCACGGGGAAGTAAAAGCAGAACAAGGAGGGACAACTTAGTCAAGCTATACAGCCTGAAATACTGCAGAAAGTTGTTTTGCCTCTCCTCACTCCAACTTGTTTATTGTAGTTCGAGAGGACTATTTTCGTGGGAGTGGAATGAGAATTACTAACCAGAACCCTTATCTGAATAATGCTACTTCCTAAGATATTTCTACAAATCCACTCTATTGGCTAAATATATACTGTTACACATAAATAACAGTGGACTGGCATTAGTAAGCAGCTGCCTGAGCAAGTAGCTCCTTAGGAAGCTAGGAAGAGTATGGAATGCAGTGGTGAGATCAAAGAGCCATTCAGGGCCTGCTGGCGGCTCTCTGTTATCCAAAACCTACCCAAGAGTGTGCTGGTAGGTAGAAAGTGATGGAAGTGGGGATGAATTCCTCCTATTACTATGACTATTTGCTTCTCAAATCTGCATCTAAAACTTAATATGTGGGAAGGAAGGAGCAGAAGAAATGCTGGGATTTGGAGTTCTATTGAACACGTGAGAATCTTCCACATGGTTCTGGTTATATACAAAATGCTCCATGGATTTCAAGGATTACTTGTAATGCATGAAAAATGTGACAAAGGAATTAAGAGCAAACAGTGATATGAAATGGATAAAAGAGGTCTTTGAAAGTTGATGACTTCTTTTAAAACAATTCACTAGTTTATTGCCTCTAAAGCAACAGGTGCTTTACCATTAGGGTACTATTTTTTATCCATGAAATAACAAATTAGAAAAGTTACTTCTCGGTTCTTTTTTGAGCATTCTTTGTTCTCTACATTTTTCAGTAAGAAAATGGGAAAAGATTACAATGTTTTCAATACGTCTAAAGTATATATCCACATTGCATTAGACAAACTGTAAGTAAAACCTTACTAATCATTAGACAAACTGTTAAGTAAAACCTTACTAGTTTGGGACCTTTATTTAATCTGGCTAAAGTATAATTGCTTTACTGTCCTTGATTTTCTGTGGTGTAATTGAAAGAATATCTAGGGGTCCCACAAAGATAAATTTCAAGTTCTGATAAAATTTTCAGAATTATTTTAGCTTATTTGCCTACACAGAAAATGAAATACTTTGTGAACTCTTTCTGTAAATATTCAACATCAATAAATCAACTACTATTGCATGCTGCCTATGACCCAGCATTGTTTAAAGATAAATGAGAAAAATGAAGAGGCACTCATTTTCTAGTGGGGGAGGCATAACAGAAGATAGTAAGTAGTAGACAGAAATATGAAAGGAACTAGTAGCATATGGTAAACATAGGTGTCCCACAAAGATAATTTCAAGTTCTGATAAAATTTTTCCAATGTTATTTACAACCATGACATTTTGACTTGCAACTTTTCAAGATAAGTACTAGACTAACATGTCTCAAGATTATATAATTAAATTTACACAGAAAACTAATAACAGGTCTGGTATCAGTATATTTATCTGATTGTGATCTCTCTTTTTTGGGCAGCTGAGAAGGATAGCAGTAGGAACAAGGAAGCTTTTGGGAGACAGGTTATGATTTAACACTTGTAACCTTACACATCTATGCAAAAAGGCTGCCTCATACGTAACCAAGAACTTCAAGTAAGCCTGGGGAAAGTGCTGTTATCAGAATGCTGAATCATAAATAAAGGCTGACATGAAGAATAGCAGTATTTAGGATAGTGTATCCTATGTGACACAGTATGATACAAAGGAGGGATGGATTAAAGAATCTCTCTCTCCTTCCTCCTATCCCTTTTTGGGGGAACATGTGTAGTCTACAGGTGTTTTTTGTAGTTGGGGACTAAAGAAAGTAAGTGATTCTTTCATATAACACTGCACTGCTTTCTCCCCATCCTCCCACCACATTTTGGTGATCCATTCATATTTCCATATCCCCAAAGCCCAGCAAAAGTTCCCCTTTATAACCTTCCTCAGTTTAAAGGAAAATCACAGTGAAAATAGTTTTTAATTTAAGGTCTGTGGATGAATATTGACAGTTTTCATGTCTATCATCAAGTTCCTTAAGACCCATACTCTATCAAACCTTACGCAAAATTTGGCCAAAGATAGGAATTATTTTTTTTAACAACAGTAATATGTTGCCTGCACAAAAACAAAATCCTATCTAAAACAAAAATAGATGGAAACAATTTAAAAGCTTCAGCTAAATAGAAAGATATCAAGAGCGTACAAGAGACGCAGATTTTCAATTTCTTAATTAAAAAATAACATTTCAATTTAAAACTTTAGTTGATACTATATTTTTATTATCAATTGGTCTGTGTACAAAACAAATATTGTACTAATTTAAGATATCAAACTTAGTTTTGTTCATGGCTAACATGATTTCTCTAAAACCAACGTGGTATGCTGGTGTATCTATCCATCAGTATTCAACTGGCTACCATCCATGAGCTTAAATAAATTTTCACTGCATATCTTT